TATATTTAAATAAATTTAAACTCTCGGAAAATTTAATTATTCCAAATCCTAAAAGATTTGGCTTTATAGGATTGAATTTTAGGGATAAAAACACTTTAAAACCCCAAAAATTCCAAGTTTTTATCCTAAATTAATCCATGGATTTTTTTCTTATTTCTTCACGGTCTGCTTTGCAGATTCCAAGCTGAAATTTATTCCTACATTTTATTTCTATTTTATTATTTCAATAAATGTAAAGAATAATTTTTAGTCATAGATTTAAATTATTTTGGAGAATTTAATGATAAAATTCCTGAGGGATTTGTAATTCCTGGATTTTGGTTCCCCTGGAATGATGGTCCTGGGATATAGAATATTCCTTTAGAATATTTGAAGCCGGGAATTTATTCCATGGAGATGAGTTTGAGCAAGATGCTTTGATGGATCCTCCTCATTCCCAAGGAAAATTCCTGAGGGATTTGTAATTCCTGGATTTGGTTTCCTTGGAATGATGGCTCTGGGATTAGGTTCCTCTGGAATTTTTGAAGCCCAGAATTCCATGGGGATGAACTTCAGGGAGATGATTTGATGGATCCTCCTCATTCCCAAGGGATTTGTAATTCCTGGATCACGTTCCCTTGGAATGTTGGTTCTGGGATTGGGATGGTTCCTTTGGAATATTTAAAGCCTGGAATTCCACAGGGATGAGCTTGAGGGAGGTGATCATTCCTCATTCCCTGAGAAAATTCCCAAGGATTTGTAATTCCAGGATTGTATTTCCCTGGAATGATGGTTCTGGGATAGAGAATATTCCTCTGGAAAATCTGAAGCGGGAATTCCACAGGGATGAACTTGAGGGAGATGATTTGATGGATCCTCCTCATTCCCAAGGGATTTGTAATTCCTGGATTGTATTTCCCTGGAATGCTGGTTCTGGGATAGAGAATATTCCTCTGGAATTTTTGAAGCCTGGAATTCCACAGGGATGAGCTTGAGGGAGGTGATCATTCCTCATTCCCTGAGAAAATTCCTGAGGGATTTGTCATTCCTGGATTTTGGTTTTCCTGGAATGATGGTTCTGGGATTAGGTTCCTCTGGAATTTTTGAAGCCCAGAATTCCATGGGGATGAGCTTGAGGGAGGTGATTTGATGGATCCTCCTCGTTCCCAAGGGATTTGTAATTCCTGGATCACATTCCCTTGGAATGATGGCTCTGGGATTGGGATGGTTCCTTTGGAATATTTAAAACCTGGAATTCCACAGGAATGAGCTTGAGGTGGACATGATTTGAGGAATCCTCCTCATTCCCAAGGGATTTGTAATTCCAGGATTATATTTCCCTGGAATGATGGTTCTGGGATATAAAATATTCCTCTGGAATTTTTGAAGCCTGGAATTCCGCAGGAATGAGATTGAGGTGGAGATGCTTTGGTGAATCCTCCTCATTCCTGAGGGATTTGTAATTCCAGGATTTTATTTCCCTGGAATGATGGCTCCATCATCGGGATGGTTCTTTTGGAATATTTAAAACCTGGAATTCCACAGGGATGAGCTTGAGGGAGGTGATCATTCCTCATTCCCTGAGAAAATTCCCGAGGGATTTGTAATTCCTGGATTTGGTTTCCCTGGAATGATGGTTCTGGGATTGGGATCCTTTGGAATATCTGAAGCCCAGAATTCCATGGGGATGAACTTCAGGGAAGTGATTTGATGGTTCCTCCTCATTCCCAAGGGATTTGTAATTCCTGGATTGTGTTCCCTTGGAATGATGGTTCTGGGATTGGGATGGTCCCTTTGGAATATTTAAAACCCAGAATTCCACAGGGATCAACTTTAGGGAGATGATTTGATGGTTCCTCCTCATTCCCAAGGAATTTGTAATTCCTGGATCACGTTCCCCTTGGAATGATGGCTCTGGGATTGGGATGGTTCCTTTGGAATATTTGAATCCTGGAATTCCACAGGGATGAACTTTGGGGAGATGATTTGATGGATCTTCCTCATTCCCAAGGGATTTGTAATTCCAGGATTGTATTTCCCTGGAATGATGGTTCTGGGATATAAAATATTCCTCTGGAATTTTTGAAGCCTGGAATTCCACAGGGATGAACTTGAGGGAGATGCTTTGGTGAATCCTCCTCATTCCTGAGGGATTTGTAATTCCTGGATTTTGTTACTTTGGAATGATGGCTCTGGGATTGGGATGGTTCCTTTGGAATATCTGAAGCCCGGAATTCCACAGGGATGAACTTTGGGGAGATGATTTAATGAATCCTCCTCATTCCCGAGGTAAATTCCCGCGGGATTTGTCATTCCAGGAGAAGCCGTGGTGCCCGTGGCCAACTGCGACGTCCGGGAGTACAACTCCAACCCCAAGGAGCAGCTGCCCTTCCGGGAATTCCTGGAATATTGGCGGGAACGCATCGGGAACGGGCACCGCTCCCCCCGCGGCTGCCTCTACCTCAAGGACTGGCACCTGAGCAGGTCCGGCCCCATTCCCGACATTCCAGCACCGGGAATGTCCCTCTGGAGAAGGGAGGGATCCAGGGAATCCTCAGAGACCCTTCCAGGGGCTCCAGGAGAGCTGTGGAGGGATTTGGGATGAGCAGGGAATGGCAGGAAACAGGGAATGGCTTCCCATTTAATTTAGGAAGGAATTCCCATCCCTGGAATTGCCCAAAACCAACTTGGATCACCTGGAATAGTGGGAAATGTCATTCCCGACATTCCAGCACCGGGAATGTCCCTCTGGAGAGGGGAGGGATCCAGGGAATCATCAGAGGCTCCAGGGGCTCCAGGAGAGCTGGGGAGGGATTTGGGATGAGCATGGAATGACAGGAAACAGGGAATGGCTTCCCGCTTCATTTAGGAAGGAATTCCCACCCCTGGAATTGCCCAAAACCAACTTGGAGCACCTGGGACAGTGGGAAATGTCATTCCCAACATTCCAGCACCGGGAATGTCCCTCTGGAGAGGGGAGGGATCCAGGGAACCCTCAGAGGCTCCAGGGGCTCCAGGGGCTCCAGGAGAGCTGGGGAGGGATTTGGGATGAGCAGGGAATGGCAGGAAACAGGGAATGGCTTCCCATTTAATTTAGGAAGGAATTCCTGCTTGGGATGGAATTCCCATCCCCTGGAATTGCCCAAAACCAACTTGGATCACCTGGAATAGTGGGAGGTGTCCCTGCCATGGGGTTGGAGCCGGAAGCTCCTTAAGAACCCAACCAAACCCAAAAATTCCATGATTTTCAATTGTTCCAGTTGGGATTTTGAGGCAAAGCAGCCGAGCTCAGCATCAGCACAGAGGGAAAACATTCCAACATTCCCTGAGGGATTCCAAAGCCTTGGAGCCCAGAATTCCTCAAATCCCCGATATTCCAGGCTGATGGCATTCCCTTGGCCTCATTCCCAGATTTTATTCCAAGCTCAAGATCCACTTAAACACAATTTGGGAATTAGGAATTCCTGGCTGGGCTGGAATTCCCAGAGAAGCCGTGGTTGCCCCTGGATCCATGGCATGTCCAAGGCCAGGAGCAGCCTGGGATGGTGGGAATTGTCCTTGGAATGGGATGGGATCATCCTAAAGGTCCCTTCCCAGCCAAACCATTCCGTGTTTTCTCCCTATGGAAAATTACTCTGGAGCAGCTCCTACAGTCAGACCTGGGTTGGGATTATTCCATGTTGGATTTGGGATCCTTTAGGATCCATTGGCTTTTCTGGGAATGTTCCCACTCCTTCCAGCTCCCTTACCCCAGGTCTGCCTTTCCTTCTCCAGCTGGAAAAGAAGCTTGGGAAGGAATTTTCCCTGTGGGAATGGGGAGGGGCTGGGATGGAATTCCCAGAGAAGCCGTGGCTGCCCCTGAATCCATGGAATGCCCAAGGCCAGGAGCAGCCTGGGATGGTGGGAATTGGCCTTGGAATGATCCTAAAGGTCCCTTCCCACCCAAACCATTCCGTGTTTTCTCCCCATGGAAAATGGCTCTGGAGCAGCTCCTACAGTCAGACCTGGATGGGGATTTGGGTTGGGATTATTCCATGTTGGATTTGGGATCCTTTAGGATCTTTTCTGGGAATGTTCCCACTCCTTCCANTATATTTAAATAAATTTAAACTCTCGGAAAATTTAATTATTCCAAATCCTAAAAGATTTGGCTTTATAGGATTGAATTTTAGGGATAAAAACACTTTAAAACCCCAAAAATTCCAAGTTTTTATCCTAAATTAATCCATGGATTTTTTTCTTATTTCTTCACGGTCTGCTTTGCAGATTCCAAGCTGAAATTTATTCCTACATTTTATTTCTATTTTATTATTTCAATAAATGTAAAGAATAATTTTTAGTCATAGATTTAAATTATTTTGGAGAATTTAATGATAAAATTCCTGAGGGATTTGTAATTTCTGGATCCCATTCTCCTGGAATGATGGTTCTGGGATTGGGATCCTTTGGAATATCTGAAGCCCAGAATTCCATGGGGATGAACTTTAGGGAGATGCTTTGATGGATCCTCCTCATTCCCAAGGAAAAATTCCTGAGGGATTTGTAATTCCTGGATCATGTTCCCCTGGAATGATGGCTCTGGGATTGAGATCCTTTGGAATGTCTGAAGCCCAGAATTCCACAGGGATGAACTTCAGGAAGGTGATTTGATGGATCCTCCTCATTCCCAAGGGATTTGTAATTCCTGGATCATGTTCCCTTGGAATGATGGTTCTGGAACATTGGGATGGTCCCTTTGGAATATTTAAAGCCCAGAATTCCATGAGGATGAGCTTGAGGTGGAGATGATTTGAGGAATCCTCCTCATTCCCAAGGGATTTGTAATTCCAGGATTGTATTTCCCTGGAATGATGGTTCTGGGATATAAAATATCCCTCTGGAATTTTTGAAGCCTGGAATTCCACAGGGACGAACTTCAGGGAGGTGATTTGATGGATCCTCCTCATTCCCAAGGAAAAATTCCTGAGGGATTTGTAATTCCTGGATCACGTTCCCTTGGAATGATGGCTCTGGGATTGGCATGGTTCCTTTGGAATATTTAAAGCCTGGAATTCCATAGGGATGAACTTTATGGATGTGGTTTGATGGATCCTCCTCATTCCCAAGGGATTTGTAATTCCAGGATTGTATTTCCCTGGAATGATGGCTCTGGGATAGAGAATATTCCTCTGGAATTTTTGAAGCCGGGAATTCCACAGGAATGAACTTGAGGGAGATGATTTAATGAATCCTCCTCATTCCCCTGTGGGAAATTCCTGAGGGATTTGTAATTCCTGGATTTTGGTTTCCCTGGAATGATGGCTCTGGGATTGGGATGGTTCCTCTGGAATATTTAAAGCCCGGAATTCCACAGGGATGAACTTTGGGGTGATGATTTGATGAATCTTCCTCATTCCCAAGGGATTTGTAATTCCAGGATTGTATTTCCCTGGAATGACGGTTTTGGGATAGAGAATATCCCTCTGGAATTTTTGAAGCCTGGAATTCCACAGGGATGAACTTGAGGGAGATGATTTAATGAATCCTCTTCATTCCCAAGGGAAAATTCCTGCGGGATTTGTCATTCCTGGATTTTGGTTCCCCTGGAATGATGGCTCTGGGATTGAGATCCTTTGGAATATCTGAAGCCCAGAATTCCACAGGGATGAACTTTAGGGAGGTGATTTGATGAATCTTCCTCATTCCTGTGGGAAATTCCCAAGGGATTTGTAATTCCTGGATCACCTTCCCTTGGTGATGGTTCTGGAATATTGAGATGGTTCCTTTGGAATATTTAAAGCCTGGAATTCCACAGGGATGAGTTTGAGGGAGGTGATCATTCCTCATTCCAAAGGAAAATCCCTGAGGGATTTGTAATTCCTGGATGTTGTTCCCTTGGAACAATGGCTCTGGGATTGGGATGATTCCTTTGGAATGTCTGAAGCCCAGAATTCCATGGGGATGAACTTTAGGAAGGTGATTTGATGGATCCTCCTCATTCCCAAGGAAAATTCCTGAGGGATTTGTAATTCCTGGATCATGTTTCCTTGGAATGATGGTTTTGGGATTGGGATGGTTCCTTTGGAATATTTAAAGCCTGGAATTCCACAGGGATGAGCTTGAGGGAGGTGATCATTCCTCATTCCCAAGGAAAAATTCCCGAGGGATTTGTAATTCCTGGATCACGTTCCCTTGGAATGATGGCTCTGGGATTGGGATCCTTTGGAATATCTGAAGCCCAGAATTCCACAGGGATGAACTTTAGGGAGATGATTTGATGAATCTTCCTCATTCCCAAGGGATTTTTAATTCCAGGATTGTATTTCCCTGGAATTATGGTTCTGGGATAGAGAATATTCCTCTGGAATTTTTGAAGTCTGGAATTCCACAGGGATGAACTTGAGGGAGATGATTTGATGGTTCCTCCTCATTCCCAAGGGATTTGTCATTCCTGGATCATTTTTCCCTGGAATGATGGTTCTGGGATTGGGATGGTTCCCTTGGAATTTTTAAAGCCTGGAATTCCACAGGGATGAGTTTGAGGGAGGTGATCATTCCTCATTCCCTGAGAAAATTCCTGAGGGATTTGTAATTTCTGGATTTGGTTTCCCTGGAATGATGGTTCTGGGATTGGGATCCTTTGGAATATTTAAAACCCGGAATTCCACAGGGATCAACTTTAGGGAGATGATTTGATGAATCTTCCTCATTCCCAAGGGATTTGTCATTCCTGGATTTTGGTTTCCCTGGAATGATGGTTCTGGGATTGGGATGGTTCCTTTGGAATATTTAAAGCCCAGAATTCAATGGGGATGAACTTCAGGAAGATGATTTGATGGATCCTCCTCATTCCCAAGGGATTTGTAATTCCAGGATTGTATTTCCCTGGAATGATGGTTCTGGGATAGAGAATATTCCTCTGGAAAATTTGAAGCCGGGAATTCCATAGGGATGAAGTTTAGGGAGGTGATTTAATGAATCCTCCTCATTCCCGTGGGAAATTCCTGAGGGATTTGTAATTCCTGGATGTTGTTCCCTTGGAATGATGGTTCTGGGATTGGGATCCTTTGGAATATCTGAAGCCCAGAATTCCACAGGGATGAACTTTGGGGTGGTGATTTGAGGAATCCTCCTCATTCCCAAGGGATTTGTCATTCCAGGATTGTATTTCCCTGGAATGATGGCTCTGGGATATAAAATATTCCTCTGGAATATTTAAAGCCTGGAATTCTGCAGGAATGAGCTTGAGGTGGAGATGCTTTGGTGAATCCTCCTCATTCCTGAGGGATTTGTATTTCCAGGATTGTATTTCCCTGGAATGATGGCTCCATCATCAGGATGGTTCTTTTGGAATATTTAAAGCCTGGAATTCCACAGGGATGAGCTTGAGGGAGGTGATCATTCCTCATTCCCAAGGAAAATTCCTGAGGGATTTGTAATTCCTGGATCACGTTCCCCTTGGAATGATGGTTCTGGAACATTGGGATGGTTCCTTTGGAATATTT